ACTACAAAGCTACAGTGATCAAAACAGCATGGTACTGGTACAAAAACAGGTCCACAGATCAATGGAACAGAATTGAAAGCCCAGAGATAAAACCACACATCTATGGACAGCTAATCTTCGACAAAGGAGCAGAGGGCCTACAATGGAGAAAAGAAAGTCTCTTCAACAAATGGTGCTGGGAAAACTGGACAGCCACATGCAAAAGATTGAAAATTGACCATTCTTTTTCACCACACACCAAAATAAACTCAAAATGGATCAAAGACCTAAAGATTAGGCCTGAGACAATAAGTCTTTTGGAAGAGAATATAGGCAGTACACTCTTTGACATCAGTTTCAAAAGAATCTTTTCGGACACTGTAACTCCTCAGTTGAGGGAAACAATAGAAAGAATAAACAAATGGGACTTCATCAGACTAAAGAGCTTCTTCAAGGCAAGGGAAAACAGGATTGAAACAAAAAAACAGCTCACTAATTGGGAAAAAATATTTACAAGCCACTTATCCGACAAAGGGTTAATCTCCATAATATACAAAGAACTCACACTACTTAACAACAAAAAAACAAACAACCCGATCAAAAAATGGGCAGAGGACATGAACAGACATTTCTCAAAAGAAGATATGAATATGGCCAATAGACACATGAAAAGATGTTCATCATCGCTAATCATCAGGGAAATGCAAATCAAAACTACACTAAGATATCACCTTACCCCCGTTAGATTGGCAAAAACATCCAAAACCAAGAACGACAAATGTTGGAGAGGTTGTGGAGAAAGAGGAACCCTCATACACTGTTGGTGGGAATGCAAACTGGTACAGCCACTATGGAAAACAGTATGGAGATTTCTCAAAAAGTTAAAAATAGAAATACCCTATGACCCAGCCATCCCATTACTGGGTATCTATCCTAAGAACCTGATATCAGATATCTCAAGAGTCCGTTGCACCCCTATGTTCATTGCAGCATTATTTACAATAGCCAAGACGTGGAACCAGCCTACATGCCCAGAAACTAATGATTGGATAAAGAAGATGTGGTATATATACACAATGGAATACTACTCAGCCATAAAAAAAGACGAAATTGGCCCATTCACAACAATGTGGATGGACCTCGAGGGTATTATGTTAAGCGAAATAAGTCAGTCAGAGAAAGACGAACTCTATATGACTCCACTCATAGGTGGAAATTAGTATATTGAGAAGGAGATCTGATTGGTGGTTACCAGGGAAAAGGGGGGGTGGGGGGAGGGTACGGAGGGGGAAGTGGTGTACCCACAACATGACTAACAAAAATGTACAACTGAAATCTCACAAGGTTGTAATCTATCATAACATTAATAAAAAAAAAAAAAAAAAAAAAAAAGAATTTTAAGACAGTGACAGCAGAGCATTAAACCAAATGCAGGGCTTTCAAAGTGTGGGGTCCTGTGTGTCTACACAGGTCCTAGGCACGTGAAGCTGACACTGTTCTGGGGGATGACCTGGGCATCGATAGTTTTAAGAGCTGTCCAAGTGGGCCGAAGATTTTAACAGACACATCACCAAAGAAAATATACAGATGGCAAGTAAGCATATGCAAAGATGCTTCGCATCATATATTATCAGGGAAATGCAAATTAAAACAACAATGAGATACCACTACACACCTATTAGAATGGCCAGAATCCAGAACACTGATGACACCAAATGCTGGCAAGGATGCGGAGCAACAGGAACTCTCGTTCATTGCTGGTGGGAATGCAGAATGGTGCAGCCACTTTGGAAGACAGTTTGACAGTTTCTTACAAAATTAAACATACTCTTACCATACCGTCCAGCAATCATGCTCCTTTGTATTTACCCAAATGAGCTGAAAACTTACGTCCACACAAAACCCTGCACACTGATGTTTATAGCAGCTTCACTCATAATTACTAAAACTTGGAAGCAGCCAAGACTTCTTCTGTAGATGAAGGGATAAACACTGCATGGTACACCAGTGGAATATTATTTATTCAATGGAATATTATTCAGTGCTATAAAGAAATGAGCTATCAAACCATGAAAAGACATGGAAGAACCTTAAATGCATATTACGAAGTGAAAGAAGCCAATCTGAAAAGGCTACATACTAGATGTGTCCAACTATATGACATTCTGGAAAAGGCAAAACTATGGAGACAGTGAGAAGATCAGTGGTTGCTAGGGTTCTGGGAGGGAGGGATGAGTGAGTGGAGCACAGGGGGTTGTTAGGGCAGTGAAACTATTCTGTATGATGGTATGACAATGGATACATGTCGTCATAAATTTGTCCAAACCCATAGAATGTACTACACCAAGAGTGAACCCTAATGTAAACTATAGGCTTTGGGTGATGATAACGAGTCAGTGTAGGTTTATCAATTGTAACAAATGTACCCCGCTGGTGGGGATGTTCATAGGGAGGCTGTGCGTGGGAAGGGGCAGGGGTATATGGGAAATCTCTCTACCTTCTCCCCAATTTTGCTGTGAACCTAAACTGCTCTAAAAAATGAAGTTGATTAAAAAAAAAAACCCTCTGGGTGATTTCAACATGCAACCAGTGTTGGGATGGCTGTTCCCCAGGGCTTGTTGCCTCACCCTCCTGTAACAATCGGTGTGTGTATGCGTGTGGCCCACGGAGGACCCATCTGTGTATCCAGACACAGAGCCTCATGGTTGGTAGGTGCGCCTGGCAGAAGAAAGCCCTGGCCTGTCACTCCTCCTCATCTGCTGGAAAGTCTCATGTGTGTGCAGGGCATTTGGGCTTCCCAGCAGGCTTAGCATTCGTGGTTTCGTTTGCTCTTTACACATGTCCTGTGGCTGCCGAGTGGGTGTTAGCACACTAGTCTGGAGATGAGGAAACAGGCTCAGAGAGGGTAAGCGACTGGCCTGAGTCCCACCTGGGAGTGGCAGAGCAAGGCCTCCAACCGGGTCTCCTGGGTCCAGGCCAGGGTGTTTCCCACACGCTCCAGGAACTGCCTCGCTCTCGTCTCAGGTTCCCAAAGCGTGGTGCAAGTGCCCGTTGGTGGCACCTGGCGTGAAAGGCAGGGGCACAGGGGTGAACTTTACAACCAAACATGTTTATTTATTTATTCAACTACGTATTAGAAAAAAAAATGGCACCTCAAGTCTGTGGCTTGTGTTACTGCTGCAGAAAAGGTTAGATTCAAATTTTAAAAGTGCGTTGACTTAAAGAAAAATATTAAGCAAGTACTAGCACAGGTGGTGTGGAGTTACGACAAAGCTTGTGAATTACCTACTCAGGTGACGGAAATACGAGAAACGCTGCTTCAAATCTTTGTAGTTTATAATGAGGATATAGTGAAATAATATTGCCGCAAAGCTTTGTAATAACAGACAAAGCACTAAAACCATTCTTGTGGTTTTTGTGTCCCCAGTCCTTGAAACTTGCCCCCAGGGAGTCTGGCCACTTTTCTCCACACTGAGTCTTGGCGTTCTACTGGGCTCTGATAGATACACATGATGGACCGTGGAAATCAAGTGACCATTCGTGGTCGAAAGAGAAGAAAAACATGTAAAATGAAATCTGTAAGTCTCCTATTTCTGGCTTAGTTCTTCTCGTCATTAGTTATATCAAATTCTAAGATAAATTCCCAAATTATCTGGAACAAGCCATTAGGAACTTTATAATAATAACAAATCTGTTCTCTGTCCAGGGAACAGTCAAAGTACAATCTTTCATGGTGGAACTCCGCATCCACTAAATATGATGAAGGACGTGTCTTCATTGACATATAAAGATTTTTGTTTTAAATGATAAAAACAGGTTTCAGCAGAGTAGGATAGAACATATTTACATGAGAAAGAAAGGGAGAAGGAAGCACTTCTGAAAGGATTGACCCCTGGGCGATGGGACTGGCTTCGTTTCTTTTAGCTTGTCTGTCACTTCTCAGTTGTCTATGGTGGACCTAGATTTCAAACCCGGGGAATTATAAGCAAATGTTTAAGATACACTTGTACACAACATATACTAAGGCTGTGTCGCTAGACACTCCTTTCCTGCTGCCATCAGATGCGGGATTTGTATATGCTGTGAGTGCGAATTTCAAGAATAAGATATTGTAGCTGGAGCCAACCATAGGACGAAAAATGGATGAGGCTGTGGATATAAAAGGACCAGATGAAGCTTGAAGCCCCATACACACGACGCCGGAGAGTGAACGACAGGACAGCACTGAGCAGCAGGGGCCTCATCTGGTGCCGGTGGTTGGGAGAGGCTGGGGACGGTGAGGATGGGGGGCTTGTCACCATCCTATGGGATTACATTCCAGCTGGTTTAAGGCCACTCTGGAGAAGAGTTGCTTTTCACAGAAACTGCCTTACCTTCCCTGCGTTTTAGGATGAAAAATTTTGTGAAAATATCGCGGAACCATCTTTGATTTGTGGTTTGGGTGGGTGTAGCTGCTTTCTCACTCGCTCTCCTGTTTGTTTTTGCGGAATCACATGTTACTCAATGCTCTGGCTGAGATTTCCAACAGGACATTCTACTTCTTGGTTGTCAGAGGCTGTAAATCCCCCGAGCTGGAAAGCTCTCTGAGAGGAGTTTCCTAAGTGGGGCCCCTTTTCTTCCAGTGGGTTTTTTTGCAGCTTTGAGCAATAGGTAGACTATAGGCATGCATTTGCATAAGGAAAGGATTGAGAAGATACACATCAGCTGCTGACGGTACTGACTTCTGAGAAAGGGGCTGGGTGGACATGAGAGGGGACTTCTCCTTTATTTGTATATTTCATACTGTTTTTTAAAAAAATTATCTGCATATTACTCATATTACCTATACCGTATATACATAAAAACACGTAAAGTAAAATACGAAGGAAGCAGACTTGGATATTTCCACTGAGACTGTGTGTGTGTGTGTGTGTGGTGGGTGGGAGGCGTGCAGGCACCTTATATTGCCTTAAGATAGAGGCTTAAAAAGTGTCACAGTACTGATGCTCTGGCTGTGTGGTCAAGAATCGTAGCACGCTCACCTGTGGAAGCCTGTCCCCCTCCGAGGCGTGCCTGCCCCACTGCAGATAGCCGACGTCACTGCGGGTCAGGACTCCGTGTAGCGTCTCTTGAGACTCTCCTTTCTGACAGCCGTTAAAAACATTTGGACTGGCTCTTCCAGTTAAAATCATGTTCAAAACTGCCTAGATGACATATTTTGCAAATATGTACATTTTAGGTGGCAATGACACAAGAACTTAATTTCTTTTTTCTTTTAATAGTTATTTAAAAATTACCATTTTTACTGAAAAGAATGAAATCACACAACGTATAATTCTGGAAAAATGCATGTCATAAACATTCGGTAGGGCTAAACCATAGTTTCTTGACTTTTTTCTTGAGCCAAATCCCGTAACTCCTCATGCGCTCCCCTCAGATCTTATTGCCTCCCTCCCCTTCCATTTCTTTTAAACTTTGGTTTCTATGGTTGTAGTTTAAGAGGCATGAAGCTAAGATGCTTTCAGAGTACTTTTCTTTCAGTTATTGGGGATGCTGGTGGGTCTTGTCAACCTATTTCTAGTGTTTCTAGACGCTCAGGGATGTAGGGCTCTCAGGGCAGACTGGGAAGCACTGTCCTGGAAATTGGAAGGTCGAACCTGATGACAAACTCAGGGTAGCATCTTCTTAGTCTTTCGAAGACAACTTAATCACTTTTCACTTAAGGAGAGAATATGCTTAATTGACAAAAAAGCCTAATTCAGATTCTGCAGTAGAAAGGCAGAGTGTCATAACGCACCTGCCTGCACAGGAAGCCCCCAGCATGTGGTCGTAAGAGATGAGGCGTGGAGGCGTCTAGGTCCTTCTGGAGCCTGCAGAGTGGAGAAGCCATCAGCGCTCGGCCAGAGATGATGACTACCCAGGAACCCGCAGCCCCCACTCCCTCCACCCCCTCGGCAGCGTGACACAGGCTCACCGCGTCACTGTCCCTCCCACGGCCCTTGCACCTTCCCTTCTCTCTCCAGGACAGCTTCCAGGACCGGGGCTGCAGAGGTGACTGGGAAGCGATGATGCAGTCGAGGAAGCCAGGGCAAGTGGCGAGGGAGAAGGGAGAAGCTACAGACCTCACATGTTAGAATCCCTGCATATGTGTGTGCTCTGTGTGGATGCTGGGCTCGGTAGAGAAACTGTTTGCTCTGAGTGACAAGGGACGCTTGGCTTAGCGTGCTAACACATGCCCAGTCCTGAGAATGCTGGCCCAAGGCAGATTTGGACAGACTGTTCAAGTGGAAAACACCAGCTCGAGGGGTAAGACCGTTTCTGCAGAAGGGCAGCCTCTACTGTCTCGTCAGGCACCAAGCGGCGGGGTCCTTCCCCGGACGATGTAAAGTCGAGGTGGAAGGTGGCTCCTGCTGTCGCCTGGAGGGGGGTGCTGAGTAATGGGATGGGAGCGGCGTGTGTTCTTGAAAGAACCTAGTCACAGGACTGGAGGTCGTGCCCTTCTGTGAGTAAGACGTAAAGCCTTGGGTCCAGCGTGGGGAGCGCCTTGGTGGCATCAGATATGATTCGGGGCAGCGTTTCCTGAGCATGGCATGATTTTAGGTAGTATAGACATGGGCATTTAAAAAATTTTATGGTGATTGTGTTTTGTACATTTTTTCTTTAGCACAGCAAATACATAATTTAAAGGATGTTCAGGAAGAGGCTGATATTTAAATGTGTTGATTTAAATAAAACAGCTAAGCAAATAATAATGCAAACGACAGGTTTAAGGAATACTGCTTTGGGTCTTGTAACTTCCCTCCTGGGCGCTCTCTATCGCTCGCTGACTCTCAAAAGCTTACCTTTCTTTCAGAGTCCAGAAAAGTCTACTTCTTCCAAGAGGCCTCCCTTGACTGCCCTGTTTGCTGGGGACCCTTCCTCCTCTGAATCCACTAAAACTCACTATCCTTACTCCTCACTTGGTGCATCAGGTACCATTGGGCCTTGCCCAGTATCTCCACGTACACCTCTGTCTTTCCCAGACTGGAACCGATGGGAGGTCAAGGCCTTGTCTTCTATTTGTATTTCCCACAACGCCAAGAACAGGGCTTTGAGTATCATAGAGACAAAATAAATATTTGTGGATATATTTTACTGTGCATACAAATAATAAGCTATTTTTATTTATGAACATTGTAATAAACTCGGTGTTGTCCTCCAATGTTTATAACCGCAAGAAGGAAACTTTTACTGTAATAGAAAAGCAGATTCAAACTTCCCTGATGACATCCACTTGCCCATTAATATGTCCACTAGAACAAAAATTGCCGTCATGTTTCCAATAGGGCATGAAACTATTTTTGACACGAGTGCATTTTTTATGTGACCCCAGAGCTGTAGGAAATACGTGTAGAATTTACCTTTCAAATGTTCTGGAGAAGATGAGGCTGTAAAGAAACAGGATGACACCATGGCTTCCTTCCCCTTTGAACTGTTTGGAAAACAAAAGAAAAGCACATTTGCCTAAAAGCAGTGCAGCCACGTGTATCTGTGGGCATGAATTCAAGGATTTACAGCCCGAGAGAATTTTTTTCTAGCTGCCTGAAGGACAGAGGTCATCCTCCCTCTCAAATGCATTCTCCCTCCTTGCTTCAGGCCTGCCAATGACTCCATCCATTGTTCTCTTGGTTTTCACCCTGTCTTTCTTTCCTCCCCGTCCATCCTGTGATTCTCTTCACATCGTGGCTCAGATGTAGTGTATCTTTCCTCTCCATTTTTCTGGCGCCCATCCTAGCCTAGCCTCTCATGCTGCTCTTGGCTGGGCCCCTGTCCAGCCTCTCTTCAGCCTGGCGCCCCTCCTGACTGCCCCTCTAAACTCGGGGGAGCAGAGAGGCCTCGCAGCAACTCTTTGGGGTTACACAGACCTAGGTTCAAAACCAGTTCCACTACTTACTAACTCCTACTTACTAACTCCTTTGAGTTTCCATCTCCTCATTTGCGATTGCAGATGAAAATATCATTTTCCCCTACGTTTGTTGCAGAAGTTTAAATGGAGTGACGCACAGTACCTTTCTTGGTTTTTGGAACACGCCAGAACCACAGCAGAATTAGTATCTGTCCCTCTCTGAGCCGCTTCTCTCCTATCTCTTTGTTGGCCAGGTTGCTTTGCTGCTCAGGACACGCCAGAGGTGCCCTGTGATCTCCAGGATCAAATCCAAATTGCCTGGCCAACAGTCAGGGCCTCTCATTAATTGGCCCCGTCTTAGCTTTAATCAATACTCAACCTGCTGAAAAGAAGCTCCTTGGCTAGCTTTCAAGACGCCCAGGGTGAAAGTCTCTCCTTGAAAGGTATTGAATCTGGAAGACTTCTGTTAAACGCATGCACCTTTTTAAAAATTTGTCCCCTTTGCTATCTGTGACCTGGCAGGGGCAGGACCCTCAGGCAGCAGAACAAGTTCCAGTGCCATAGGAGCCAGACAGGAACGCAAATGGGTGCACTGAGGGGTGTGAGAGAAACAGGCAGAGGTGCAGCTGAGGTGAGCTGGAGAACACTTGTGTGTTAGTTTCCTATCACACACGTTGTGTGTTTGCTGCCACAACAAGTTACCGCCAACTTGGTCCAACGCGAGTTCATTATCTTTCAGTTCTGGAGGTTACATGTCCACCAGGAGTGTCACGGGAGTCCATCCAGACTGCTGGCAAGCCTGCATTCCTTCTGCAGGCTCTCTGGGAGCTTCTGTTTCCTGGCCTTTTCTGGCTTCTAGAAGCCGTTCCTGCTTGGCTCGTGACCCACATCATGTAGCCTCCTCTCCCTTTGCTTCCCTCGTCTCATCTCTTTCCCTCACTCTCCTGCTATCTTCTTTCCCTCATAAGACCCTTAGTATCAATTGGGCCTACCAGGAAAATTCAGATAATCGCCCATCTCAAGATCTTTAACTTAATCATATCTGCAAAGTCACTTTCACCAGATGGGTGACATCATTCAGCCTATCACCACCTGTCCAGTGGGAACTGCCACCTCCTATGTCAGTGAATTGGGGACAAGCAAGAATATAGGTCTAGCACAGTTAGTTTTTCTGATTTGTTGAACAAAGCTAAAAATCCTAGTTCTCATATATAAAGTGCTAGTAGTTTCTTGATCACAGCATTATATTGTATACCTTTTGGGTATGGTACCTGGTTTGAAGACCACCGCAGTGACAATAAAATGGAAAGTAGTGAATTAAAAAAAAAAAAAGTGCCTTCTACACATTTCTAATTATAATTGACTGGGGAAATTTAAAAATCCTAATTAAAATTTGTGAAAATTGAAGCCTATACTACTATAATATGGCGCTTGTCTTTCACATCTCCCTGCATTCTTCTCCTTGTCCAGAATGTCTGGCTCTGTCTGTGTGATCCCAGCATGCAGTGTGAAGTGCTGTTAAACTCTCTTTACTTCAGTTTCCTTCTGTAGACAGTGAGGATCATAATGGTACCTATTTCATGGGATTGTCGGGAGGATTCAGTGACTTCATAGATGGAGAGAACTATGGACTATGCCTGGCACACAGTGAACCCTCAATTAATGTTCACTATGGTTGTTGTTATCGTTATTATTGCAGCATTGTGATTTTGTTAATTATTTTTATGACACCCAGTGAGGGCAGGATGTGCCGGAGAGCATCGTTATTTTTACTAGACTGATTTCCTTGAGGGCAGGGTCTGTATTTTATTTATCATTGTCTCTTAGTGTCCACCTAGTCCATGGGAGCACTATGGTGAAACAGTTAAGGTCAGATGTTAGCAAACTTTTTCTGTAAAGGACTAGATAGTAAATATTTTAGGCTTTATGGGACATATGGTCTTTCTGCCCTTGTAGCACAAAAGCAGCCACAGACAATACAAGTTGCCATGGCTATATTCCAGTGAAATTGTATTTACAAAGGCAGGCTGTGGAGCAAATTTGGCCCATGGGCCATAGTTTGCTAACCCATGGTTCCAAACTGCCTGGGTTCAAGTCCCAGCTCTGCTACTAACCTTGTGAGTTTCAGTTACTTCATCTCTCTGTAATTCAATTTCATTATCTGTAAATTGAAGGTGAAATGAAGTAAAGTATATAAAGCATTTAAAACTTCGTCTAATATATAAATAAGAAGTGTGAACTTATACTGGAATGCCTGACAGACAGTAGGTGCTCAATAAATGTTGCCTAAATGGTGAAAAAAAAAAAAAAATCCTAGTTCTCATGGGGAGTTTCCTCATTGCTTTTGATGTTCACTGAGTCAAATTTTTAAAAATGCAACACCATGTGGGCTGATGCTGTGCATCTTATGTGACGGGTGTCTTAGTATCCTGGGGCTGCTGTAACGAATTACTGGAAATCTGAATAGCTTAAAACAATAGGAATTTATTCTCTCCCAGTTCTGGAGGCCGGAGGTCTGAAGTCGAGGTGTCAGAACAGGACCAGGCTCTCTCTGAAGGCTACTAGCTCTCTCCTTTCGTCTGCCAGCTTCTGGGGGCTGCTGGCAATTCTTGGAGTTTCTTGGTTGTGAGCTGCATCACTCTAGTCTCTGCCTTCATTATCACCTGGTGTTCTCCCTGCCTGTCTGTGTCTACGTCCCAATTTCCTTTTCCTGTAAAGATACCAGCCACTGGATTAGGGCCCACCCTAATCGAGCATGACCTCGTCTTAACTCGATTGCATCTGCAAAGACCCTGTTTCCCAATAAGGTCACATTCACAGGTATGAGGGGTTAGGATTCTAGCATAGCTTTTTGGGAGGATGTGATGCAACCCATGAAAACAGGTCTACTGCCCACAGGTAGCCCTTAGACTTCTAGCTTGAGATCTCTGCCTCAAGATGGGACACGAGAATGGGACACAGGACTGGTGCATTTTGATAGTGAACAGGGTTGGTAAAGGTCTGAATGGGGGCTGATCACAACATGCAGCCCCTGGTCAGGGGGTGCCCTTGAGGGAACATGCCATCAATTCCCCGCCTCACTGAGGAAATGGTGCCACCCTTGCCCAGCGTGGCTACACGATGGTCAGCTTGGGTCTGCTTGACTCAGGTCGCTCTTGCGCCCAGCCCACCTGTGCTGCATGGTCTGTTTCTGCTTAGGGCCTTTATTACTCGTTCCAGCTCACCTCCTAGCCTTTGACGAGAAAAGTCTGTGCACAGCTTCAGCTCTGAGCCTCTCTGGCTACACTGAAGAAGTGGGGGTCCTTCCTGCTGAATCAGACTCTCCCAGGTCTGAGCCGAGGAGACAGAAGGTGGGGAAGGAAGCGTTTGCCTGTTTTTGCTGGAAGGGTCGTTTCTTACATGGTCCTTTCTATCTGCGTAACCCCATTAAACGTCTCCTGCCCACAACAGGGAGTCCCTAAGCAGGCTTCTAGCTTCACATTTCATGTCTGGTATTTAAAAATCTATCATACAGGTTTTATTAGTTTCATATTACTGCTGTAACAAATTACCATCAATTTAATAGCTTAAATAATACAAACTGATTATCTTATAGCTCTGGAGATCAGAAATTTGAAATGGGTCTTCTTGGGCCAAAATCAAGATGTCAGCAGACCTGCATTCCTTCTGGCTCTTCGAGTGGCCCTGCCCGCATCCCTTGGTTCATGCCCCACTTTCACCTCAGAGCCATCAGTGGCGTGGCTCTCTTCTCATATCACTGCACACTGATCCCTCCTCTGCCACATTTAAGGACCCTTGAGATGGTACTGAGCCCACCTGGGTAACCCAGATAATCCTGTATTTTAAAGTCAGCTGATTAGCAGTCTTAATTCCCCTTTGCTGTGTAAGGTAACATTCACTGTTTTCAGGGGGTAGTGTGTGGACATCTTTGGGGGGCCATTCTTCTGCCTACCACACAGACCTCTGAGGCCCGGGGTAGCGAGCTTATCGAGATCACAGAGCTAGTATGCGGCTGGGAACTCATGCCCGTTTTCTGCCTCTATAGCCTTTGAAAGGATGAAGCAGAGAGTTGCATGGATCACATTTCCCCTTCCGTACAAGCCACAGGCATACAGCTTCGTGGTTACCCTGCTCCCTGTCCCCTGCTTTCACATCGTAGAGTTTTGATTCTTCAGAAAGCCAATGTTCATTTCTTTCTCCACAGCGGAATCTTGAAAAGCCTCTTCCACTTTCCACCACCCTACCTTGTCCTCTCCCCCTGGGGGTGGGGAACACCCACTGTGGGAGCACACTGTGTCGAAGGTGCTCACAGCAGAGGTGAGATGGGCCACCGTTTTCAGACGGGAAGTCACTTCCCCGGAGATGTGTGAATGGTCATTTTGGCCATTTAGACTAGGGCCTTAGTTGTCTGCCATTTTTCTGCTTAATCCATTAGATGAGGCAAGATCGCCTTAACAAAGAAATCCCGGCATATGCCCTCCGCCGCGTCGTTCTCTGGTTTGATCAGCCAAGGAGAAAGAGGCATTTGTGAGGGGCCTGTGTGTGATCTGGCCTCTTTCTAGGTTGTGGGGAGGGAGAGGCGGGCTCCTCTTTCTCTTGTTCCGCCCTTTCTTAGCCTCAAAATGACCTGGTTTTCTTAACAAGCATCATTAGAAATACACTTTATAAAAGAAAGAAGCTTCCTGTAAGATCAGTTCAACATGAAGGAATTGTCTCAAGACTTAAACACTTACACACTGTAAATGATCATAGATGAATCTCTCAGTGGCTTCTTGCTCTAAAAGCTCAAACAGCTGGAGCTATAAATCAGGAACAGAAGATAAAAATGAAAAGGAAGATGAAAGTTACATCTATAAGATGTCAACTCATTGTTATTACCTCAAGGGAGCTTTTTGTTTCATTGCAAAATCGCATTGCTAAAAGCTGACATATTATCTTATCCAAAGCCATGTAAAACATACAGGGCACAATCGGCCTCACTTTAACATTCCTCAGTTTTAAACCAATATGAGATCTTGAGCAGTAAAACCATAAACAGATCTTTTTCCCCTAATAGGTAGAATTTAACTATGTTTAAATGGTGGATATGGAAATGCAGGTTATGACGGTTTCAGGTATGGGATGTTCTTGATCATGGTGGATTCTGGAAGGAGAACTTCTCAGCAGGATTCTCCACTTTGGCTGCTTGGATAGCCCACAGCCCTTGGTCTTGCCTGTTTGGAAGGTGCCTTCGGCCACATCAGACACTTGCAGGACATGGATGGGCCTCCACCTTCATTTCCGTGCTGAGTCTGGTACACGCTCAGGCTTCACTGGCCCTTTATCTGGCAGGATGGGCGGGATGCACTCACCTGCTCTGTGAAGTCGTCCCCAGAGTAGCGAGGAGTCGAGGTGACGTAAGTGTCCTCAGTGATGAGACAGATTGTGGCCTTCTGAGCCGCTCCTGCAGCCCACAGGATGCCAGCGAGCGCAGCAGCCAGGGCCCGCCCCTGCTCCTGCCGGCTTACTGCACATAAGCTGCAACGCAGGAGGCAGAGTTAGGAACCCATGGGTGGGAACCGTCACCTGGCTGAGTGCTGGGGCCGTCCCTTCTGTGTCCCACCTGAATGCAGGGTGGGTGTATTCGGGTCCTTCATCAGCCTACACTGTGCGAATGTCACGGGCGGGGGGCCTTGTCCGCTCTGCCATCCCTGGAACTGGCATCCTCGTGGGGCAGCGTGTTCCCCCTGTGCTCTCAGCCAATCCCACCCTGTGCACTACTGCCCCCTGGAGTCCGCCACCGTCCTCTCCCTGGGCTCCAGCAGGGACCCATCGAACTATTTAACCCCATACACAGGCCCTTTCCGAGCACGGCCCAAGCTCGCCTTCCACATCCGCCTCCCAGGCCGCCATTCGCAGCCCTCTGCCCAGACGGACGGTCCCTCAGGCCATCTTCCACAATCTGCCTTTCCTCACGCACTCGCCTGCCTGTCTCTCAAGTGCACGCCACCACCGTGCTTTCTGCCCATCCCGTCCTAGACATCATTTGCGGTGACTTCAGGCGGCCTGAGGAACCTGTGGCTTACACTCACCTGGCACTTTCTAAGCACTTCACACGTATCACCTCATCTAACGGGAGGTAGAGACTCATTACTCCCATTCTAGAGGAGAGGAAGGCAAGGCGGAGACGTCGAGTACTCGGTCGGTCCTTCACCTTTAAAGTGAGGAGCAGGGGTTTGGACACAGGTCTGGCTCCTGACCATGTACCCACAGGGTAATCCCAACCCGTCAGACCCCCAGGAAAGGGGCCGATCTTTACTGCGCCCTTTTTCTCTGCAGGTAACAATGACAACTGTTGTCCTGATGAAGAAACATGTGGTAGAGGTTTATTGATAAGCTCAGCAGCGATTTATAGACCCCGTCCATCTCTGAGTAACAAAGAGCCCCGTCCTCCGAAACCCTGGCCCAGGCAGAAGGAGAATGAGGCGGAGCAGGAGTGAGAGCTGTGCCTGGGGTTGGGGAGGTTTCACAGCGGGGTCTGTGATGGGGTTACTCAGCACCCTTTGTTTAACACTGGCTGCTGGCCTGGTACTGTGCCGAAGGCCGTATATCCATGTAGCAAATGCTGTGTGCCGCATCGACAGCCCCTGGGATGGCCTTTACTTATTGGTGGACACGTCCCCCCGCTGCTCCGGGTACCACTGCTAGTGGCTGCTACTTTTCAATTTTCTCTGAAGAATTGGAGCTGCCTTCCCAGAAGGGACCAGGAGTTATGCCCCTCTCCCAAAGGATGGCCCCTAGCCGAGGCCTGGCTGGGGCGGAGGTACAACGGCCCTGCCCCCTTATCTGAAGACGGGCGGCTGGCACTCTAGAGCTCCACTGACCAGGCTCGGGCGAGACGGCTCGGGAAACCACACTATTCCTTAGCTTCTCCTTCCCTCTCCTGCTTCCCCTACTCTCTTACAGGCTTCCCCTGAGGGCATTCCCTTAATAAATCACTTGCACAAAGAATTCCCATCTTTGGCTCTGCTTCTAAGGAGGCTGGCAATTCATGATCTTAGAATATGTTACACATTTAGTTCCCGTTTTGGGTGATAACTAGGCCTGCCTGAGGGTGGATAGATGTCTTGTAATTATTTCTATTTCCTCTAATATCAAGCATGGAGCTTTGCACGTGATAGGGGTTCGTTAACTTCTACGAAAAAGGCATTGGAAGTGATTTTTTAGGTAGGCTCCTAACAAGCACTGTCTCCTTCGCCAGCCTGAACCCTTCATTTGTCGGGTTTGTCACCACCTCTCGTGTTCCTCCCTGGAACTGCTAGGTTGGGGCTTCCTGTGAAGCTTTGTCAAGGAAGCCCGCCTGAGAGCCCGTGCCTCGTTTTCCCTGGCAGGATGGTCTGCAGTAGAGCATGATGCTGTCAACAGTGTCGCTGCAACTGAATGTTGACAGTGACTCCAGGAGAGCCTCCAGTCATGAGATGCAGGCCCTCTGGGAGAGCCGGAGCCATGTCTGTCTCATGGGCGTGTCGCCTTCCTGAGGCGACCCGGGGGATTTTCCATCGTGATTATGTAGCGTATAAAGTTCTGAAATGGGCAGCTCTGTCGAGTGCTTCTGTAGGCCTCTTACCTGGGCAAGTTGCAGTCTATCCCCTTCCTGGCAAACAACAAGTATTTGAGGATGGATCCTTGTACGGCCATCTGAATGCTCCGGGCGCCTCCCTGAAATGGGGCGGACGAATGTTGAGGGTGCGAAGGCCACCAGCAGGGCTCTACAATTGTAGGGGAACCACTCGGGGCCCACATTACTAAGGAGAACCCTTGGAAATGGATGTCGGTCTCCGTTCTTCTCTGCAGCCTTGCCCCTCCTGGAATACGGCATCCTCTAGGCTTAGCGAAGGCACCCTTCCCCGAGGGCTGGCTCTGGGGGTGAATGTCCTCCTCCACCTGCCTCCTCTAGGCCCCTGCTCCAGAGCAAACTTAGATTTATGGAGAGTAAGGAACTAGCCGGCTAGCCCTGGAGATTCCGTGCGACTGGTGATCGATGCATGAATTATTGAGATTTTAAACAAGCCAGAAAGAAGCTTCTAGGTCTCCTCCTGCCTCTAAATCCTCAGGGATGCTTAGAACTTGGAGAGAAAGACCAGGAAAAGCCGGACTGGAAGGGGAACGGGGCGGGGGAGGGGTGAGTTTGAGACTTTGTTACAACCCAGACAGGATATTATAATTTTAAACACTGTTATCATGTAAGATTAAACTTTCAATTATAAATATGTTCTACATGTGATTGTAATGAAAACATGCTTTCATATGGCTGAGGATGGAAGGAAACGTAGCTAGGGAACATGGGATTGAGATTTTAAAAACTGTTGACTTCTGTTACCTTTCCCGCCTCCAAAGCGAAAGCCAGGTCAGAGAAAGGATCGTGGAAGCTGAAACAGGCCCTTCTCCAGTCGCGGCTGAAGATGTGGCCTGTGTTTGCAAACAGACTCTGGCGCAGCTTCTGAAAAGAAGGGAAAGGAATGGTTCCCACAAAGACGGTTCTTCCCCGATACTTTCCTCCCCAAAGAGCCGTAAGCGGGGTGGTGGCATCGCGGAGGAGGGCCCGTCCCCTCCCGCGTCGGGTTTACACGTTGTTCCGTCCCCTAGGTCGATTGTAAAGTTCTCTGCCAGAGCTTCAGGGCTGGTTCCCTCAGAACATGCCAACCTGAAGGCTCAGTGTCAACGCTGCACCTCGTCCCCAGGCGATTCTTGTCCCCGTGTCTGCCTCTCCTTCCACCGCCGGCCGCCTCTCCTTTACTCCTCCTAGTCCACCTTGGGCGGCCGCTCTGGCCTTAGGCCTCTGTCCCTGGATCCGTGACTCTGTAACCCCTGCCTCTCCCATGTGTGTGTCTTTCTTGCTCCAGAGAAAAAGGAATAGACAGGCCCCCGGGTTTCTAGCCTGAGAACAATGGTGGTTTAAATGATCCTGAGCGAGCATCCTCTGTGCTCCCCAGAATCTTTAAGGTTTTCCTGGATGCTCTACAGCTGGTTGCCATTCCTTCTGGAGCTTCGCAGAAAGATGGGAACAGGCCTTTACAGACCAACCACACGAAAAAGGAACCTATTCATAAGCAGAGATGTATTAATCATGTGGCATGTGCTGGGGCCTATGTGGGCTACAGATACCCCACAACTCTGTAGAGACAGAGTGCTTGAAGTTCCATAAGTCAAGTTCAAAGTACACGAGAGGACAGAGAAAGGAGAACCGCTGACTGGAGTACTCGGGAAGGCTCCATGGAAGAGGCGGCATTTAGATGAGGCTGGCAAATGGCATCTAGCATTCACTGAGCGTTTTCCACGTGCCAGGCACAGGGCTAACTGCTTTACGTTCCCTAGGGAAATTTAATCCTTTGAGGTAGGAACCGTCTTACCCTTCTTTCACAGAGCAGTGTTTGCCTGCGGTCCCCCAGCTAGTAGAAACAGAGCTGGGATCTGCACCCATTCTAACCCCAGTGCTCCGCTCCCCAACCTCAATCGTGTACGTGCCCCCTTATGATGACTGTCACGTTGTGTGCCAATCATTATTCAAGTAACGTTTTCATGAGCTTGGGGCACTCTTTTATAATTTAGGAAACATTTATTTAAAAAGGACACTTTATATCACCTCCTTAAGTGGGAATCTAAATCACTTGCTGTACATGATAAAAAATATAATGGAATGAAAATGATGTTATCGAATTAACTAGAAACTGTGGCCTATGAAAGCTCTGACTGAGCCCCGCGCTCTTGAGTTGAAAAGGGAGTGTTCAGCAGTGTGGGTGTGCGCCGCCCTGACAGTCTTTCTCCCCAGCCTGCCGGAGTGAGCAAGGGGCTAACTTTCCACGAGGTGACTCAGGTTATTCACTATGTCACTTACTCCCCTGTCCCCATGCTTACTTACTCCCCTTACCTACTCCTCTTTCCCCATGGGAAAGCACCCCATGCTCCAGCAGAGGCACACAGCCCGCTCTCTGGGACAAACCACACCTGGGCCTAGTGCCTGGAACAGAGGAGAAAGATCTGCAGACACTCACATGGTGCCCAGGAGTCTGTTCAGTGGGACCAGAGCACTGCGTGTGTGTTCCGGGGCTGTGGGGCAGGAAGCAAGCGGAAGCTGACCTGTGGCTGATCCTATCACATTCAGGCATCAGAGCCAGCGGCAGAGTGTGGACAGAGGAACGTGGAGCCCAGCTGGCCAAGAACCACGGTACCTCTTTCCAGCTGTGCACGGAGCAGGCCCTAACGGACTCGAAGAAGGACGGATGCAGGAGAAGCAAGCACCTGGAACGGCCTTTCCCGGGTCTGACCAGGGTCTGGACCACGGCTGGAATTTATTTCCTGGTCATCTCTGCTCCCACCCTCAAAAGAAAAGACTGTCGCTATAGAGAAACAGAGGCAGGTGCATTTCAGTGTGAGCAAGGGCTCAGAATTGCACTTGAAGAAAAAGGATCTGTCTGGTACCTCAGGGCAACGACAAGTCAAGGAGAGGCCACAGATGGGCAGAGAGGCTGGGCACAGACCCAGCGTGCACCGTGGTCACAGAGGCCGCCAACCCAAGGCATCCCAACAGAGGACTGAAAAGGAACAGAAGTGTTTCCTTGGCATCAGGCGGCACAGCACAGGAGAAAGACCGACCACTCCCAGCTCTGGGGCCGAGAAGCCCCATTCTGCTCCTTACTGACTACGTGAGCTTGGGCGGATGGCCCCACCTCTCCAAGACTTCATTCACTTATCCCGAAATGAGGACAACTCCTGCTCGGTCCACACCGCGGCTCTCATCGGAAGAGAAGGCGTGTAGAAAGGGCTTCAGCAGCCATAAGTGCAGAGTAAACATAGAGTGCTGCGACCTTTGTGAAAACACAGCCTGTCTCCCCAGGAACATCCTGAGCCGTAGGGAAGGAAGTCCCAACGCAGACGGGGAAGACCAGAGAGGGGCAGGAGCAAGGGAGGAGAAGCACGGAGAATGAAGACCGTTCAGAGTAAGAAGGCTTAGGACTCAAATTCCAATTAGAAAAATTCTGCAAGCCCAAGCCTCCAGGATGAGTCATCTTACCTGGGTAACATTTGCTTTCTTATCCAATATAATTTCTAACAAGACGAGCGTATGTTGTTGGGCTGCCTGGTAACTAGACACCAATGGTAAATGGTCCTAATAAATGACTGTAACGATCGTTCTTATTTAACACAATCAAGCACGGCTTATAGTTTTTCTCTTTTCACTTTGTTAGTCTTCCAGGATCGGTAATGAACACCTCTCTTTCCTGATTGCCGTGATGATGATAATGGCAATGATGATTATCACGCACACGCACACATACACGCACACACGACGGGGAGACAGAGGTCCCGGATCATTCTTCCCAACAGGTTTAATTTCCTTACTCTGACTGCCTTGTCCCCTGTCCCTGGGCTTAGAGTTTCCCTGTGACCACCTGGCCCCGTCCAGTCCTCTCCCTCCAACACCCCAGATGAAGGTAGAATAATTCTCTTTGAAACTCCTTCCCTAAATCTTTTTTCACCTTGGAAATTGCTGGCCTATCATAGAACCAGAGATTTTAGAGTTCGTGAGTGCTAAGCAGACATGTCTCTCCCAGCCCATCATGTAGAGTGGCAGACTTTGTTCATCGTGGATTTCACAGCATCTGGTGTAGTGCCTGGTACGCAGCAGGCTCGCAATAAGTATTTGTTAAATTAAAAAAATATATAATTCTGCCCTTTCATTGTACAGTTAAACGACTCCAGGCCCAGAGCAGTTAGGTGGTGTGCCCAAGGTCGGGTAGTTAGTAAATGGTGGTGCCAGGACCCAAACTCGAGCCTTCCCACTTGTCCCTGTCAGGGTCCCAGCAGGAAACAGATGGCACTCTCAAGTCAGGGTGATTAACTGGAGGAAGGTTGGATACAGGGACTGTCTACAAAGATGTGGGCTGCATGGGGAAACTGCACTGCTGATGCGGGGTCCCCGGGCTGGCCACAGGAAGCATTCGTTATGTCCCCTAGACAGGAAGGGGCCGGGGAAGGAGTGGTTACCTGGACCAGGAAGGAGAGAGTCCTGGGACAGGACTGCCAGAGAGCGGGAGCGATTCAGCCAGCTCTGCACAACCTGACTGCCTCCCCTCCCCTCCCTCCAGCTCCCTCGGGGCTCCCAATGGGCAATGCAACGGGAGGCCAGAGGAGGGAGCCTTGTGATGGGGTCCCTATAGGTCAGTCTCCTGGGCAGAAAGCTGGGTGGAGAAGGGTAGAGAGGGCATCTGAAGGGTCCACAGGGGATATCCACTACCCCACCCTGAGATGCCTCTCTAGGGGATTGTCCAGAGCACGGAATTAATTAACTAAATGTCCACTGAGGCCCATCGATCAGCCAGATCTTATGCGGGGGGCACCAAGCTGTGCTTCCTGCTCCCCAGAAGCCACCCCATTGCCTGTTATCCTCTATTACAGCTTCCTTCATCTGAGTCTCCCCCAGCATATTTTGATCTCCCAGTATTACATTTTTAGTACGATCCTGCTGGGTGGTATTGCAGATACACCAGGGCTTTGTTTCTTGGCTGCTGATAAAAGAGGCCACAGGAATGTGTTCCAGCCTGGGTGCTGGAGAAGGGCCTGGAGATGGAGGAGCACGAGGAACTGCCAGTGGAGGGCAGGAGGCAGCCGGGTGGGGCTGGTGGAGGAGCCCAAGGCGGGAGCCCACCTTCTCCACAATGTCACAGGGGCCAGCAGCCTTGATGGGAGGTCCGTACACCACACACACTCTAAGATGTTAGGCTTGGGGAGGAAGAAGGCTGTCGTATTGGAAACAGGGCAACGAAAGGTGAGAAACAGGAGAGCTGGGGAAACTGAGGGGTAGAGGGGGGCCCCCCCTCCTTTCCCAGCAGATTCCCAGCAAAGAATGTGTGCTGATGCCAGGAAACCCATGCCTCCTGCTCCAAACAGAGTGGGAAGGACAGCAGAAGGACAACAAAGGGCGTCCCCAGTGAGTACTGGGCTTCAGTCGCTCTGATAATTTGCCGGGCGGCTGCTCTGCTGAAACATCCACGAGAATTGGTCAAGTTTTCAAACTGCCTCCCTGGGACACACGTACTCAGGACCCCAAGCCTCATCATCCTGAAATCCCAGGGTGTGTTTAATTAACCCTGCTGCTGCTTAAAGAACACACCATCATCGGGCCCACGTAATGGGAGCAAGTCCAAATTCACTTTTTTAAAAGAAAAATCAATTACCTCTACTTCTGGGACTCCCTTAACACTCCGTCGACTCTGTTTCAGGCGACAGTGGTCTGATTTTTTGTCTCCCAGGCCCTTCCAGAGGGAGGGAGTTACCTTGGCAAAGTCACTGGGGGTCTCCAGGTGCCTCAGGTTTGTGTTTGCAGAGAAGTGGGAGAATTGAGACTCAGACCCTCCTGCCTCCCTCCACAGTATAGAGACTAGAAGACTCTGGAAACATCTGTGAAGGCTTTTCTCTATTTTTAAAATTTGTATGTGTGTTTTTAAAAATAGATTGTACATTCACATGGTTCAAAATCCAGAGAACACAGAAAGGTATGATGAGAAAAGACTCCCTCCCACCACGTCCCTCGGCCCCCTCCGCCCCCACCGTTACAGATTACGATGTCTTCTGGAATTTATGTTTGCATTTACAGTCAAATGCCGATATAGAATCATGGCTTTCTCTCCTTTTTCACACCAAAGGCAGCCTATTTCCAGATATGCGTAAATTTTGAAATGACATTCTCCATAGAAATTCATTACAGAGGCCAAGAATGGATTGCCTACATTGTTCATTAAAACGTCGTCTTGCCAAGTAGAATACAGACGGTGGCCCTCACCTTGGGTTCTGTAACACAATGGGGGCAGAATGAGTCCCGAGGCCTGCAGACCCTAACAGGGTGACGCGTCACCTGTCTTCATGCCCCAAAGGAGAGCCATCGACTAGGCACAGAAGTAAGGCACCACCAGGCCAGCAAGGCCAGGGAGCAAAGTGCAGCACCTTTGTGAGCCCTGCTGGCCATCTCCTGTGACATCTGGCATTTGAGCGAGAAAGGGAGATGCATTGCCACGGGAAGATTTGTGACAATAAGAGCAAGTGGACCTCCCGGTACGTTTGTGCCATGGGTGTGACAGCAGAGAGGGTTGCTCTGCAAAGCTGTGAGGAGATGTGAGATAAAAAAGAGTTTTGGGGCCGCAGTCCCTCTATGTGATGACGTCCCGGCTGGGAAGCTTAAGGAAAGGCTATCTTGAGGGTTGGAAATATTGCAGTCAGGCCTGGCCCTTGCGCTCAAAAAGCAGACAGAGACTGCAGTTTCCAGCAGGGTGTTCCAGCCCCTGCTCCTCCCTCCTGGCAGGGACCCTGCGTGCAGTGCACAGACCGTGGAGCCCTACGTGCGTGGCCGGCCTGGCTGCAGGGCAGGTACTGCTGCTGTTTGCCTGGAGGACCATGCTGGTCTGGTGGTTTCCACAAGCATGCCTGGGTGTGGGGCAGCATGTCGTCAGGAAGCAGGTGCTTCTTCCAGCTCTTGCTCTGGGGCCCCGAGGAGAGGTCTCTGCCTGAGGTTCCAGAATGTAGAGTGGAGGTTGGGGGATGGGGTGATTGAGGGGAAGTCGTGCCGAGAAGCCCTGAGTTTCATTACAGCTGGGAGGGCAATGAAATTGGAGGGGTCCCTCACCCTATCTGGCACTTTCCCCTGGACTGACCCCTGGCTTAGCCCCTTCAGTTTCCAGTCACAACTCTTTGACCATGATAGCTGGCCCTTTGGACACTCACCGAGGCACTGCCTCCAGCCCTGGCCAGTTTGCTCCACTGAGATTCTGCCAGTCTTCCCCCTGGCTGGGTCTCTGCCTCGGCCTCTCGCCCCCACCCTGGTCAAGTGTTGAACCAATGCTCCCTGGGACCGGTAGCTTCCCGATCCACTTGGATCCTCAAATATGGGTTCTTTTCAAATCTGCATATGAGTCAGCAGCCCCACAAAGCTTTTCTTTCTTGAGATCTGCTCCTTGTCTCAGGACTGGGCCTGGCACAGGTCCCCAGCCGGCGCGCACACGCATAGGGGCCGGTCTCGCGCATCCACGGCTGTTTACGCATTGGCCGGGCTCGCGTCTGCCCTATCCTACCGCGTGCAGTGAGTTATTCTAATTTAACTCCCTCGCTCCCGCAAATTTAACTGTTAGATTGGGGAAGTGACTAGAGACTCAGAGTTTGGGAGGAAAAGACTGTAACATCACCTGTGTCCTTGAAAAATGCCATAAATAAATCATTTTAATTATATTCTCCTTTTACCCGTAACAACCGTCTGTAGTCTTATCTTCAGGAATGCTCTCACATGACAGCAGATAAGATTCCCCAGCCTTGTTGTTTGGGGAAGATTACGTTTCGTTTCATGTTTAATTGACAAGTTATGCTTACCGCGGCCATAGCTCGGGAGATGGGAGAGCCGCCGGGTCTGGAAGAGATGATAGAAGCCTTGGGAACACAACAAAGGTGACCTGATGGCAAATGCCCTTGTCCCCTGGGCTGAGGTGCGCATGCTCCATCTTCACTTTCATCAGCAAACACGCGGCTGCCGTCAGGGTCCTGTGTGAAACGCCACCAAGAAAACAAAGCACAGGCAGCTGGAGATGACCTTTCCTTCCCTTTTCTCTGTTTCTCTCTGAAATATCAGTGTTCAGAAAATGTTGTCTCCCTTTTAAAGATGTCTGAAAATTGTGATAAATAGCAATAAAAGAGGCAGAAAAATCTCAGTGTCGGTGTCAAAGGGGCTCCTTATAGGTTTATGTGACTAGGAGAGGTTAAATGTAACTATGGAAACATAATTAATGCTATCAAGACCTTGACTTGAAATTATGTTTAGAGAAGAATGTAAATGTCACTGTCTCTTGTTTTGAGAAGAAAACATTTTGCAAACAATGAATGAATCTTTCCAGTCTATACGAGGGGTTTCTCCTTGTGTTGTTAACTGGCCAGTCAATGAAGCCAGTGACCTCCTTTTAATTCTCTCGGATTCCTGTTCCCCAGTGAGTGCAATCGTTTCTTCTTTAAAAAACCCAACCCCAATTGTTAAGAAAAAAATCTATTTTTACTTTTCTTGACCGATTCTCATGGCATTTAAATCAGTTAGCATCAACCTTTCTTCCAATTTACCTTTTATACTACTGTCCGCCCTGTTGGCAGCTGAAACATGAGGCAAACTGCCTTCTCAGTTTGTCCCGGTTCCTAGAGGTGCGGATGCTTCCTTATCTCAGAAACACAGCATCTCGGTCACAGACGACGGAGGGGATAAGATGCCGTTTGCAAATCAAATGGAAGATCTTCACATGGGTGCAGTGGGTTTCTCTCACTTTGTGTAAAGTCTAACTTGACCGTTATTTATTTTTTTCCTTCCAAATCTATTCCCCTAAATGGCAGCCATCTCCATGTAATACTTCCACGACTGAAAACAGAAGCATTATCTCCTCGACTCTAATTCAGGCTGTGGTTAAGAGCGTTTTAGCACAAATACGGCTTTTTGATCACAGATTCCTTGAGTCAGATGCTTTAGCATCATGGTTAAAATATTAACAAGTCAGTTGTTTGATCATATCGTATACGAGTGCCCGCAAAATCACTTTAATATTTTGTGCTGTGTTTGTTCAGTGACTGAATTAACATCTGAAATGCAAAGTCCATTTCCTTCTAACCTTTTCAGGTTGCACGAGCGAAAGACGTCTTTCATCTTAAGCTGTACAACAAATTTTAAGATACCTTTTTAATACCTGAATTGAGTCGTCTTTCCCTTATTTAACAATGGTGAAGGAAAACAATTTCTCAGAAGCCGAATAAAGATGAGAACTATTTTCCAAACTCCTTTTCTGCAGGGACCCTGAAGCTCTTGGTTGTCAGAATCGAGTGTTATTTCACAAGTAGGAACTCTAGATTCTAATATTACTTTTTTCTAAAATAATAACTATAGGGTGCTGTTAATGATGAAAAGTAGGTCTGAAAAGTAGGGAGAGATTTTTGTGAAAAAACGAAGCACAAGAAAAGATCTTCAACAGGGTTTCGAGTTTCAGGTTGAGGTTAAACGCTGGGGCCCCGAGTGAGAGCATGTGCACAGAATAAATGCAGATTATGCTGCTAATGTGCTTGTTTGAAGAAGCGACTAGAGGAAAACACATTGGCTTTGAGAAAAGTGCTTACCTGAGGAGCGGTATTACTGGTTCCCAACCTATAAATGAAAGAGAAAATATCAAGTAAATTACTGACTCTCTTCAACTCTCACACCCTCACACCTCCTCAAACCCAGCCTCGCCAGGCAAGTCTCTTTCTGCAGGTATTTATACCTGACACATTTCAAACGTGAATCTATAATGGAGACTTCTCAAGTCTTCTAAAATCTCTCTGGTTTTGGAGGAATGAGAAAACAAGGAAATCTTACCTGTGGAAACTAAAGATTTCCCTCCACTTGTCCAGAAGTGAAATTTTCCTAGTTATCGCCTCTAAATCCAGCTGCTGGGAGCCTCGCTCCTGGTCGGAGGCCTCCATGTCCCTCTGGATAACGTGAGGGACTGGAGGAAGATGGGAGAGGGTGGTCTGGCAGCGGCGAAGCAAGGAGGCTGGCACACAGGGCCAGGGGAGAGAGCCGCCCTGCTTCTGGCCAGCAAGGAGTCTCGCCACTCAACTGCAGAGCAGGATTAAATTTTCATCAGAGGTGGGGTACTTGGTGTGGTTTTGTTCCCTGTATAGACGCCATGAATGATTAACGCAAGACACAGATTTACAAACAAAAGGACTGCAATTACTGCTCTGTATCAAAGCATCTGGGATGATTTAAGGGAGGAGGGTACCACGCTGGTGGAACGTGATGGTGCTTGGTGCCGTGGTGCTTCTGTACAAGTGCTTGTGGAGCAGAAATACGCAGCCAGAGGGGATAAAAGCCATCCTGTTGACACTGAAAAGCTCACCAACTACTGCCGGCCAATATGTAGGCCAAGGGGGAAACTGACCAGCAGATGTTTGCTTACAGTTCTGGAGACAGAAGTCTTGCACACTGTTTGAAGAAGGACTGGTTTGATTTGTTTCCGGGAGAAGGCAAAGCATGTCTCTTCCTATTGGCTGAATGAAACGTAGCTGCAATAAGTGGCATAATAAACAATATTCATTGTTGTGATGGTTAATGTTATGTGTCACTTTGCTGGGCTCTGGTACCCAGTTTTTGGGCAAACACTAGTCTAGATGTTGCTGTGAAGGTATTTTTTTTGGTTGTGATTAACATTTAAATAGTAGATTTTGAGAGAAGTGGATTACCCTCCAAAACATGGGTGGGCCTCATCCAATCGGTTGAAGGCCTTAAGAGAAAAGACTGAAGTTCCCCGAGGAGGAAGGAGTTCTGCCTCCCTGCAGCCTTCAGACTCGAGACTGCAACTCAGCTCTTCCCTCGGTCTCCAGGCTGCGGCCTGCCCTGCACCCTCCAGACTGGCCACCCCGCAATCCTGAGAGCCAAGGCCTTAAATAAGCATCTCTCTGTATATATAGTCACATAGCCTATTAGTTCTATTTCTCTGCAGAACCCTGAGTAATACCATCGTATTTATCAAAAACACACACTGGTTACCAGTAAAAGTTTTCTGTCTCCTCTGACTCAGCTGAATGCCAAAGTGGGACATCTGTAGCAGAAGGTCATTTTCTGCTCCTGAGCTGGTGAAATCCTGGGATTGCTGAGAGGACGAGGTAAGGAGGCTATCTGGGTTTATTTTGACGAGAGCGGTCAGGGCTGAGGGACTGGTTATATATAGTATTGCAGAGAAACACCACAAGGCACTAAATACACCAGACTCTGTGGCTTCAGGTGGCCACAGTTTTGCTTGAGGATGTTCCGCTTTCCGTCTCCAAAATAGATTATGCTGGTTGTTTAACCATTTCATATGCACAGGTCCTGTAAACTTCCGTCAGGTTTAGTATTTTTATTGTAAACATAAGAGGCATAAATAATTCCTGTCTTATTTCCCTCCTCTAACCATAAATTCTCCTTTTAAAAAAAAAAGCTTTATTGGGCCAACCTGGTGGCATAGTGGTTCAGTTCACAGGCTCCACTTCAGTGGCCTGGGGTTCACAGGTTTGGGTCCCGGGCCGGGACCTACACACCACTTATCAAACCACGCTATGGTGGTGTCCCACATACAAAAATAGAGGAGGATTGGCACAGATGTTAGCTCAGGGCCAATCTTCCTTACCAAAAAAAAAAAAAAAAGAAAGAAAGAAAAAAAGCTTTATTGTTTTCCTCTTTATAATTTTATGGTTTTAATGATGGCATCAGTACTTAATGCTTGTTGGGCACCCCCAGAGTAGAAAATGATAAGAAATTACATGATCTTTGCTCTCAAATAATAATTTCTATTTAGGAAGTCATATTAAAAAATAAATTCTGGGGCTGGCCTGGTGGTACAGTGGTTGGGTGCACACGTTCCACTTTGGTGGCCCAGGCTTCACTGATTTGGATCCTAGGTGCGGACATGGCACTACTTGGCAAGCCATGCTGTGGTAGGCATCCCACGTATAAAGTAGAGGAAGATGGGCATGGATGTTAGCTCAGGGCCAGTCTTCCTCAGCAAAAAGAAGAGGATTGGCAGCAGATGTTAGCTCAGGGCTAATCTTCCTCAAAATAAATAAATAAATAAAATAAATTCTTGATCTGCCATTTACATTATTTAGCAACCCAAAACCAAGAAAGGTCAGTAGCTAAGAGAACTACTTTTCTTAAGAATCATTATTAAATCTGTGTGATTTTAGTTATGTCTGTATCCTAATTTAAAGAGAATTCTGTAAAAGTAGAAGCATAAATTGCAATGATTAGACATCTTACTAATAACTCATCCTTTTGGGTTCAATAAACATATTTTGAGTATTTCCTGTGTGCCAGGCACTTGGAAATGCCAAGGTGGATCAGATGGGGCTCCTGTTCTTTCTAGTGGAGGAGACAGACACTGGAAAGGGGAAAGTGCTGTGGGAGCAGTGGCTCAGGGGCTGTGGGGGCACAGGAGGGGCCAGGAGAGCAGCTGAGCTCAGAGCCTGGCCCCGGGGCCCACGATGCTTGGTTCTGAATCGTGGCCTCTTCTCTTGGGAGCTGCACGGCCTTGGACAATTATTGAACCCCTCTGCGCCTCGGTTTGTTCATCTGTGGGATGGATATAATTTCATATCTTTAGCATATCAAGACTTCTAGTCTATGAAAATGGTATATTGCTCCACTTTTTAGACCCTATTAATCTTCCTATTGTTTAGTCCCCAGAAGTGGAATGCCTGGATCAAACGATATGGTCATTTGAAAGACTCGTGACACACGTCGCCAAGGTCCATCATTGTTCACGGGCGAGCCTAGCCCGGCTGCTCTTCTTCCCAAGATGGAACTCATGGCCCAGCTCCTTTCAATAAAGAAAATG